GCGTCCGGCCGGGCGCGGCGACGGGCCCGCACCGCGGCCGGCGCCGCCGTTCGGCTTGCGCGGAGGGGGAGAGGTGGTCATGGCGCTCCTGCGGGACGGGACCGGCGGAAGATAGTCTGTCGCCCGGCCTAGAAGAAGGCCCGGAGCGCGGCCAGGGTCTCCTCCGGCGCCTCCTCCGGCACGAAGTGGCCGCAGGGCAGCGCGCGGCCCTCCACCGTCTCCGCCTTGGCGCGCCAGACCGCCAGCACGTCGTAGCTGCGATGCACCACGCCCTTGTCCCCCCACAGCACCAGCAGCGGACAGTCGATTCGCGCCGCCGCATCGGCCTCGTCGTGCGCCAGGTCGATGCTGGCGGCGGCGCGGTAGTCCTCGCAGGTGGCGTGGATGCCGGCGGGGTCGAAGCAGCGCTCGTACTCGGCCAGCGCGCGCGGATCGAAGACCTCCATCCCCGACTTGCCCCAGGCGCCCAGGCAGTGCCGCAGCCAGCCCGCCGGGTCGGCGCCGATCATGCGCTCCGGCAGGTCGTAGGGCTGGATCAGGAAGAACCAGTGGAAGTAGGCGTTGGCGAAGGCCATGTCGGTCTGGCGGTACATGGTCAGGGTCGGCGCGATGTCCATCACGCAGGCCCGCCGCACCCGCTCGGGAAAATCGAGGCAGAGGCGGTGCGCCACCCGCGCCCCGCGGTCGTGGCCGGCCAGGTTGAAGCGCCCTATGCCCAGGCTGTCCATCACCTCGACCAGCTCGCGGGCCATCGCGCGCTTGGCATAGAGCTCGTGGCCCGCGCCGCCCGGCGGCTTGGCGCTGTCGCCGTAGCCGCGTAGGTCGGGGCAGATCACCGTGAAGCGCTCGGCCAGGGCCGGCGCCAGGCGATGCCACATGACGTGGGTCTGGGGATAGCCGTGCAGCAGGACCAGTGGCGGCCCCTCGCCGCCCAGCCGCAGATTGACCTCGCCCGCGCGAGTCACCACGCGGCGCTGCTCGAAACCCGGAAAGAGTTCAGCCGACACCTTGTCCTGCCCCGTTCCGCGCCCGCGTCGCGAGCGCGCTGCCGCGGCCCGTCCGCCGCAGTGCAGCACAGCCTAGACCGGATCGCGGCCGGTTGGAATCGCTTCCTGAGCGCGGGCTGCGGCGCTTTCCCTGCGCCTGAAACGCGAAACGGCGCCCCGCTGGGGGCGCCGTGCTTCACGTCTCTTCCCCGTTTCGGGGGAGCGAGATGGTGCGGCTGAGTGGACTCGAACCACCACGGCCTCTCGGCCACAGGTACCTGAAACCTGCGCGTCTACCAATTCCGCCACAGCCGCAATCTCGTGGCGTCGGCAGCCCCTCTGTCGGAGCCAGTCGCGGGACCCGTTCCCGGCGAGGCGGTGGTGCGGCTGAGAGGACTTGAACCTCCACGGGGTTTCCCCCACAGCGCCCTCAACGCTGCGCGTCTACCAATTCCGCCACAGCCGC